ACAGAGTTTCCTGAGCGTTGCTATCAGTGCTATTGTTACTGTGGCACTGCTCCACTTACTAATGTGTTTATGTTTTGCAACACGGCATATGATAGAAATATTAGCCTCTTTCATATGTTGCTTTAATTATACACATGATTTTCAAAATTAAAGTGTTCACATTTGAAAAAGTCAATCCCGTTTGATGTTTCAGGATTAGAGCAGTCTGCCTGAAAAGATGTTCAAAACCACTGCAAGGCTAGGTACAGTCGCTCACACCTGTAATCCTAGCACTTTGGGAGGCAAAGGCAGGAGGATCGCCAGAGGCCAGGAGTTCCACACCAGCCTGAGCAAGAATGAGACCCTATCTCTACAAAAAATGGAAAAAAACAGCTGGGCATGGTGGCACGTGCTACCAGTCCCAGCTACTCAGGAGGCCGAGGCAGGAGGATTGCTTGAGCCCAGGAGGTTGAGGTTGCAGTGAGCTATGATGACACCACTGCACTCTAGCCTGGGCGACAGAGCAAGACTCTGTTTCAAAAAAAAAAAAAAAAAAAAGAAAAAACCCAAGAAACAACAACAAAAAAAACACAAACGCTGCAAATCAACCTGGTAATAGTCCCTGAGATAAGAGGACACTTGTGTTAAACCAGATTTCTATTCAAGTCTCCAAAGAAAATGTCCACTCACCTGCAGGGCTCACAGCTGGCACATGAGGAAGCCGTGTTAGTTACAAATTTTCAATATCACATTATATATTCTGCTGGGAATTACATGTTTTAAAATGTGAGGACCTATATATTAATCTGCAGTTTATTTAGGATTTCTGGAGCTATAAATCAGTTATAAAGATAAGTCTAGTGAATCAACACCAAGACCAAGTTCAAATGCAGTCCTTGCTATTAGCATAGATCTACACAAAATGTACAGTTTTATAAACATGCTTTCCTCTAAGAGTAACAACCAGTCTTTCTAATAAATGCCTTTGCTATTAATAAAGTATACTGTAATAACTGAGAAATGACACTCTCTTAGGAAGAACTCAGCACAAATACTATTTCACCCACCTCTCCCTAACACAACCCCCAACTGACAGACACAAAGTAGAGGTCCATGTAAGCCTTAATGAGAAATTCCCAACTAGCCAATCTTGCTGTGTTCTAGGGACCCATCTGACTAGATTCTCTAGGGATTAAAGTTCTAGGCTCAAACCAGATGTCACTCCCAAGAACCGGAACATAAGCTTTTTGAGGATAGAGATTCCTGACAATTTTATATACTGCTGTACTCCCAGCATCTAGAACAGTACCAGCTACACAGTACGCACTTAGTAAGCACTTGCTGAACTGAAGAAATAACGATGTGGCAGGCCTACGATCTGAAGCCAGGCTTTCTGACTCCTGAAGTCTACCACCCTTTTTTTACTCCAAACTTTAAAAGAGAACATCCTGTTTTCCGGTTGACTAATCTAAAAGAAACTTTCCACCAACAAATTAACCCAAGAGAAAAAAAGTAGCATTCAATAGGTGTAGTCACAAGATCATGGAACTACCTACAGCTAGCTACAGAGTGAGTGATATAAACAAACAGTAATAATAAAAAATGGCAGTGCGTAAAATTATAAGGTAGATGGTTAACCTTAACTATCCAAAGGGAAATGAAAGTTTTCACTGTAAGGTAAAATGGTTCAAGATCCTGAAAAAATAAATAAAAAGATCTTAATTCTCTACTGGTCACCTATAAGTAAATATATTCTGGATATAAAATATAAACTTCATTTCATGTTAAGAAAAAAACTCTGGGCTAAAAAAAGGTCTTTTTATTCAAGACATCCATGTTTTCAAATCTGTTCTTTCTTTCTCCTCTCCCATTGTGAAGAAATGAGACAGGCTGGTGCACAGATCTGTGCTCCGGGGTAGGAGAAGTGCGGAGGTTACGGCCAAAGCCAGGGCTTCTGGACCCACAGGATGATAAGCTTTACTTCTGGTTTTGATTTTCTGTTATTTTCTTTCCATGCATCATCACACAAATAATATTAATCACAACTAGATAATTCCAGGAGACAGTGGGACAGATGATAACAAAAGGCCCAGGGGTCAAATCACTGCTTACCATGTGCTCTCACCACATTGCCAGCTCTGATTACTAAAACAAATTAAATGCCCCATTTCTAAAGGCTGATATTGATACAAATGACCACGTTATGATGGTAGTAAGATCTCCCCTTACCTATTAAATATCTTCCTAAATGCTTACTCCAAGAGCCTTTCAATTATGGGTGGGCTAGTAAGTCTTTTAACTCAGGTATGCAATAAGTAGCTTGCCCACCCACACCTGGTCAAGAATTGACATATCCTCCCTGTATTATGAGGTGACTTAGACAAATCCTAGCAGAAGGTCAAAGCACAGAATGCAGTTATAGCAGTTCTTTCTTCCACCTCTACTAACACTCACCCTCATAGAAATTTTGTGAAGGAGTAACATTCTTTACTCAGTCCATAAACCAATCGTGCAACACAATTCCAAACTCCCTGCTAAAAACAGTATCCCAAGTCACTCAATTTGAACATTTTTATACTTCAGAATTATTTTTCTTGGTATAAAATAATTCATTTACCTCATTGTAACTCATTAAATTTCAGAAGGTTTCTAATTTTGTAGCAATTCTAATAATTCTATTCAGAAGTGGATCTCTCTAAACATCAAATAATAGATTATTTTAGTTTCCTAATCTAAAACTGTTTTCAAAATTTTCACTTCTATGGCCATAATTTTCATATATAAAAAGTCATTGATGATAAATAAAATGTCACATAGCTGCCACAGAAAAAATGCTCTGTGAAATGATATTGACAAAGAATAATCTTATACTTTAATAATACTTAAGGCTGGTGAATATACAATTCAATTACAGCTCTAAAATGTTAATGATAATGTGATCTCACTTTTGGAAACTTTTCACAATATACTAATTTTAGATTAAAATAAAAAGTCCACTGTGGGCATTAATGTATTATTTATATTTCCTAAAAATTAAAAAATATTTATATCCAATAGTTAAGGAATAGTTAAGTAAATTATGGTATATCCTTCAATAGAACATCAATGCTGGATTTTAAATGGTTAAAAAGCTCATAGAATAACAGAAAAATAAGGACACAAAGTAGTTTTGAGATTACAATTAAGTAAAAGGATGCAAAGGCAAAAAAGTCTGAAAGAGACAAGCAAAGTTATAATAATTGCATTAGGGTGACAGAAGCATGAATTTTCTATTTGCTTTTCAAAACATGTGTTCTTATTTCCCCAATTATAAATGAACAAAATAAAAATAAATCTAAAGAATGTCGATGGTAATAAAATGGGACTACGTGACAGAACAAAAAGGATGCTAGATTAAACAGGAAAAAATTGTCTATTTGCCATTGTCACAGCTGTGCTTGAGCCCTGAAAAACTGTCTTCACATGCACTGGTGTCCTCCTCACGCTGTGTACATCCTAACATATACTAAGCTCTTCCTACACACAACGGAGTTCAAAAAAACACTACCACAACATATGCAGAGAAGAGGCTTTTGTGGCACTAAGGAAATTCTGCTATTCCAGTAACTTAATTCCTTGAGATGAAATCTAAGACGAACTTCAAGCTTTTAACCACATGCCATCTCCGAAACAGAGTTCTAACTAGTTTCCTATTTTCCTAACACAGCAGGAGTATGTTTATAGAGAAAGTTAGTCCGACATGCAAAGATAACTCAGGAGTCCCATATTCATTTCATTCCTTAAACCATGAGAAATCAAAATGTAAACAAATAGTGAACAAAAACTAAAGTTACCAAACATTCAGGTTCTGTTTGTTTAAAGTGAGAATGTTTGTTCAAAGACTATTAAATTTCTAGTGGGGTAAGGACTTCACAGCAGAAAACAAATTCATTACACTGAGAACACAATGTAAGAACCCATCGATAGTGTATCAAATAAGGAGAAATCCATTACAAAACTCGATTCAGACACCAATTATTCATATAAACTTTTCCTGTGAGCATACAATACTTTTTAAAAAAAATTAATAAAGGCTTTTTTAAAAGAAGATCATTGGTGAACTTACTGAGTATGGCTGCAGTAGGATGGTGGGAAGGAAGAAGCACCACCATTTGGTCAACAAATATTGACTGAAGGCCAACTACCACAGAGCATTTTGCGAATAGTGATTGGCTACAAAAAATAAGAGAACAGACAGTAGTCTCCTGACTTCAGAGAGCTCCTGTCCCAAAGGAAAAACAGCATGCCAACAAGAAAAACGTAGGGAGATTCTTTCAGTCCATCAACAAATACTTAGGAGTGCCTATGGTGTGTCAGGCATTGCGGAAAAGGCTGGAGAAACAGGGTAAGAGTTTAAAAAAAAAAAAAAAAAAAGACTGAAAAGCTGTCCCAGCGAGGCTAACAATTTAAATAGAGGAGTTTTATTCAAAGAATCATATAAGTAAACCTAAAATCAGAACTCTGTGCTAAGAGAGCAAACGACAGGAACTGCACCGTCAGCAAAGGGAACCCAGAGACAGGACTCTGGAGAAGAACTACACAGAGTGTTCGGAGAAGGCTTCACAGAATGTTCTGTTGGAGCTGAGATGTAGCGGTGGGTACAGAGAGGTGGGGCATTCCAAAAAAGGCATCTACACACTGGGGACGACAAGTAAGTAGTTCGGTGGGTGAGAAAATTGGAATGATATGGAAAGAAATAGTAATGGGCAGCCAGAAAAAGACCAAGTTATTCAGGGATGTAAATTCCATGCTACGGCTTTTTATCGCATTACTCTTTCTTAATGAGAGAGCCTAGAACATGTTTTGCGCTGAAAGTTACACAGACACGACAAAGTTTCAGGGGCCATAATGAAAGTATGTTTAGGATAGCTGTAAGTGTAACACAGCTTATAAATAACCCAGAAATAGAAAATAAAATGTACAGCTATTATATATGTTAACAATATGCGATTTTCTTTTTTTCCCATCAGGTCCAAGCTCACCCCGATGATACTCAGTCCTTTGAGGTAGTCCTGCCGAGGCTGGGCTTGAGGAACGCATCCAGCCAGCACGACTTTCTTGTTCTCCTCTTGAGCTTTTCTAAAAGATTAAAGAAAAAACAGTGTGAATTCTTTTGCTCACAAGCATACCCTTGGAAACTGTTGATAGTGCATATAAACTCTTCAAATAATATTATAATAGGCCCATCTAGCACAAAACAGGATTTTCGTATAACTGCTTAAAGAAAAGTATATTATAATTAGACTTCTGTACTTTATTTATCATACATTAAAGAACACAATAGGCCGGGCGCGGTGGCTCACGCCTGTAATCCTAGCACTCTGGAAGGCTGAGGCAGGTGGATCGCTCAAGGTCAGGAGTTCGAGACCAGCCTGAGCAAGAGCGAGACCGCGTCTCTACTAAAAAAAAAAAAAAAATAGAAAGAAATGATCTGGACAACTAAAAAATATATATATGGAAAAAATTAGCCGGGCATGGTGGCGCATGCCTGTAGTCCCAGCTACTCAGGAGGCTGAGGCAGTAGGATTGCTTGAGCCCAGGAGTTTGAGGTTGCTGTGAGCTAGGCTGACACCACAGCACTCTAGCCCGGGCAACAGAGTGAGACTCTGTCTCAAAAAAAAAAAAATAAAAAATAAAGAACACAATAGCAGTTCAATCTGATAATGTCTTTCATTATCATCCCATTACAAAACAACAACAAAAAAAAATCACTTATACACGACTCACAAGGATATGAATCATTCTTCAAAACCATATTTTCCACAAAGATAAGCTAACCCTTCAAATAAGTTACTTAAATATTAATGAAAATATGCCTAAAACTTGATATATTCTTTCCTTGTTTTGTCCAATATAAGAGTAAAACATACCTTAAGAAAATTCAGACAGGAGAGTAAATAGAAGGCATAATACCCTACATCCTGGGAATCCCCGCATCTCCCTAGTCCTGCTCCCCAGAGAAAATCTACAGTTACTGACTACTGATGCTCACTTCCACACTCCAGAATCCCTCACATATGCAAGCATATATGTGCAAATAGACTTGAGTTTATATATTTATTTCTACATACATACATATATATATATGAATATTTAGAAAGTATTTCTGGATTACAGAAACCTAGAGGTGAAATCTATGCTCATTTGTGTAATTATTTTCCTAGCTTAAATTCTAAGAAGTAGAAATGCTGGTTCAAAGGTATACATTATCTAGTTATTTTATTAAGCATTTCTTTACTCAAGAGGGAGGTGGCAATATATTTTTTATGTGGACATTATTCATTCATTTGGGCATGCAATGTATAGAGCAACCATAGATTTTGTCCTAGAAGACAGTAGTGAACAAAGCAGAATTTATATCTTTTCCTAGAAACAATTCATATTCTTTGCTCATTTTAAAATTAAATTTTCAAGTCTTCGATTCTGTTTAATGTTATATGTGATTTGGGGTGTTTTGTTGCTTCAATTATTTTTATTGCTGAGTCTTGGGGTATTGTATTTCATGCACCAAATTGGGTCCCTGGTCCCCCCTAGCAATCTCTAGGTTTCTGAAGCCAAATGAGAAAGCTGAGGGTATCAGCAGGCCACTTTCTAGACATGTGACTTTAGATGACACAACTATGAAAAGTCTCTACACTTTGCACATTTTTGTTTTTGTCAACTTTTTCAAGAGTACAAATTCAGAACTATAAATTAACAATAAATTGGGATTAATAGGATAAGCTCTGTGTGATAAATAGCCATATCAAAATCTTCTGGGAAGTATGCAGAGAATGAGTAAATGCAAGAATAGGCAGAGTAAAAAATAATATTTTAACAGCACCTATGTTTCATTTCAATAACTTCTTAGAGCACTTTGATATAATTTTTCCACTTGGGATCCTGAAAAAACTTAACGAAATTTTGAAAATCTGACTTTAGTAGATTGCATATCAACATTCAAGAGAATTATTGTCTGGCTCTGCCCCTTGGTTTTACTTTTCTTATCAGTACCAAACACATCACCACACATAAATACTTTTCTTACAGTAAATGTGAAATAATTTATCAAACAAAAAAAACTTTCCATTTTCATTAGCAATCTACACAAAGAAGTTAAAATCTAGTTTCTTTAAGAATTTTAGTTATAACACCTAGAATCACTGCCCAACATCCAAGAGAGACTCTGAGATCACTGACAATTGAATCCAAATGAAAAAGCCTGCTTTCTACAATGTAATTCAATTACTTATTAAACACATCTAAAACATTATGGTAAGTGTTTAAGGGAACATAATGATGAGGAAGTGAAGCACCCTGCACTCAACAAGTTTATGGTTTATAACATGGAGATGTAAAAGCACATAAACACAGCATCAAGTAAGATGCCCTCAGTGACAGAGAACTGTTTAACATGCCATGAAGGGAAAAAGAATGTGTATACACACAAAAAAAAATACAGAAAAAAGTTTCACAGAGAAATTTGGGGGGATTTTATTGGCAGACAGGAGTAGGAGAGGATGGAAATGGAGGCAGAGAAAGCTCTAGGCAGTTGTTACAGCATGAAGAAAGACAAGAAGGGGGAAAGTATTTCATTATATTATAGAAAGCAGTTCTGTATATCGGAGAACAATAGGGATTATATTATGGAAGAAGACTTAAGGAAGAGGCTGGAGAGTCTCTAATTTAGTGAGCAATGGGGAAACCTCTTACATTTTGGTGGCAAAGTGGACATAGAGTGGAACCAAACTTTGAGAACATGACACTGGTAGCATAGCACAAAATGAAATACAAGGGGAAAAGAAGCCAAGGGGTGGGGAAATTAATTTAATATCCTATACAAAAGGATATGAGAGCCAGAATGCATGTGACAGATTTTTTTTAAAAAGATGATTAAATAAAAGGAAATTAGTTCTCTTACTACAATATACTTGGTAAATCCCAATGGAGGAATCAAAGTCTAAAGCAAGGGTCAGCAAATTTTTCTACAAAGGGCCAGACAGGAAGTACTTTAGGCTTTACTGGTCATAGGTCTCTGTTGCAACTACTTAACTGTGTCACCTGAATGTAAGAGAAGCCTTAGACAATACTTAAATGAATGGGTGTTTCTGTGTGCCAATAAAACTTTATTTACAAAAACAATCAGCAAGCCAGATTTGGCCTGTGGGCCATAGTTTCCTGATCCCCAGCCTAAGAAAAGAGAAGAACAGTGGTGCCACTAGCTGTCAGAACTGACTGAGTATTGGATAGAAGGTGATAAATTCACCTAGGACGCTAAATCTGGGGTTCTGGTAATGTCCATCAAATCCCTGGAAATGCAAGTCAGCTGGCTGGGAATTAAGATGGAGGTGGATTTGGGAAATGTTCTTACAAAGCGATGGGTGATGACAGTAGATGCAGCAGTCCCTAAGGATGTGGACAGAATCCATTTGAACACAAAACATTGTGATTCTTTAAGTAGAAACATTTCCGTCGGATAAAAATAACACTATGGAAAACCAAAAAGAGGAAAAATACCAACAACAACAATAACAATTGTGGTTAACACAATGGTACTTCATCAAGGTAATAACCATTATGTAGTTAGTTATGCAGAATATTTGAAAACAGTACAGTTAATATATAACAACCCAGGGAAAATGTTCTGGTGACATTATAAACACCAGATTAGGACATGAAACAGGCCAGGGCTGATTTTAAGGGAGTAAGGACACTATAAAACTAAGAGGAAAAGTTCAAAATTGAAATGCATGATTAAGTAATTTGTTAAAAATATTATTTTGTGCTTTTATTAAATTTGGCTTTAAAATGCTAGGAGAGACCAGAACTATAAGCCAAAATTCCTACCTGTCATGGAATAGTAATGGCACACTTTATATGTGACCAAATAAAGTAGCAAAAGCTTTAATGCAAATTCTCAGAGTATTCTTGTTCTAAACATTCCCTTCTTACATACCACTCTGTTTGTTTAATAAGCTTTGTTCAGGTTAATAAAAACCTGAAAAATAATTTTCCCTTTAAAAATGTACCTGACATCTTCTAATATAGCTCTGGAAACAAACAAAAAAATGTGCCTGACACAGACATGTTTTTAATAGCTATTATCCTTCAAAATATGAATGCTGATAATATTAATACCTTAAGAAAGTTTAAGATGATATGAATTTCCAGATAGCCTTGAAATGTTAATTAAAATAAAAATTGAATGTAAAGTTAATTTAATATAATGGTTCATATTTTCTTGGAATGTATTTCTAAATAAAAATAGAGATGTATCCTTGTCTAGAGCATTAACTCGAATAATACGGAAAACATAAAGAGGCCTTTCCCTCTTTTCTTCCAAGCATCAAATGTAAGAACTAATTTGCATAGAATCTTAAATTAATAGCATAATAAAAAAAATACATAAAGGTGACATAATATCATTCCCTTATTTCACAGATGAGAAAATTAAGATTCAAGAAGATACAATGATTGAGGCCCAAAGTCCCACACTATCTGGAGTTAGTGCTCGAGCTGGGATGAGCACCCAAGATCTTCTGGTTCCTTGAATGTTACATTACAGAACATGAATCAAACAGGTTTTGACTATGTAATAAACACCATAGCAAACATTTCTTTATTAGAATAGCAAAGAAATTTACAGGGCTATAATTTTTGAATGTCTTCAAAGTAAAAACAATTTAATATTTGATGGTTCTTATTTTCCTGAGTCTTGTGAACAAAATAACAGTCCAATAGAAGAGTAATAAATTCATAGGTATTTCAAAAAAACACAGTTCTCTACAAGTGGCAGGTAAGGAGAAAATGTTGCTTCTTTCTCCATGTTCATTTCTCTTACTCCTTATATCTTTCTTGCAAATTGACATTTAACTTATATAAAAATACTCATAATACAGTTGACCCTTGAACAACACAGCTTTCAGTGGTGTAGGTCCACTTATACGTGGAAAGCCATGCATACCAGAGAGGGATGATTCCACATCTGAGGTTCCACAGGGCCAACTGAAGGAGTTGAGTATGACTAGAATGCCTACTTCTTAAAGATATTCTCTCATGAAAGAAAAAGTGTTTTTTAAATATATATCTGATTTTTAATT